GTAAAAATGAAATAAACACAAGTGAGTAGTGCTGCTGATGAGGCAAGTAGCTCCCCGAAAAACATGACAAGGAAATACAACCTGCCTTGCCTGTCACAAATTTCGAAGGGCCACCTGTACCATCAACAGTACCATCAACAAACTCAACAATAATGTTAAGGCAAACAAAATTAATTAGTTACAAAAAAAAAAAGGAAAAGACAGTAATACAGATACTTAATCTACGATAAAGTTTGCAAGTGCTTCTATCCAGATCTTTTTCTCCACGCTCGTTTTCCATAACTTTTACAAAATTCATCAAAGTATTTCTCTACTTTATTTGTCATGGAAAGAGCAGTGGAGCCTAGGACGTAGCTTAATTTAATATCAATATTAGCACTTAAAAATTGATCCCAAACATCGATGTTATGACTACTTAATTTATATTCAAGTTCATTTAACTCCTCTAAACGTATGTTTAGGAGAGCTGGACAAGAGAATAAGAAGTGTCTTATGTCTTCTTCATTATTTGTATTGCAAAGAGTACATAAGCCATTCTTGTCTTCAGACCATCTAGAAATTCTACTATCAAGGGGCAATGTATTGGAGCGAAGTTTAAATTTCAATGATACACCTTCAAAATCCAATTTATCTAATAGATAATTTTCTAATTTAATTGTATCTTTAAGTAATGAATAGTCGGTGAGTGAGGCCTTACTTTCAATATCCTCTCTCCAGTTTTCATTGTTTATTTCATTTACTTTTTTTAATAATGGATTAACCCAGTAATTGTAGTTGCCATGATTATTAGATAATTGTACTAGAAGGTCTTCAGATTCACATTTAATAAAGAGATCAGAAATACATTTTACAAATTTGAAACGGAAGTTATTTGGATCACATTGAAACTGATTTGTTGTATTTAGGAGTATTTTTGGCTAACGATACGGTTCCATACTAATTAAACGATTACAAAATTTAACTCCTGAAGTGTCATGCATAGTTTTTATCTGTATCTATCCAAGTTCCCCATATAATGTAGATCGGGGCGTATTCATAGGGGCTTTTAAGATATATCGTGCCATTTGTAATTGAAGTTTTTCTAATCTATCAACGTCTGATTTATTTACGCTACACCAAACATCAGATCCATAGTTAATTGAAGGGAGGGCAATTGTCCTCCATAGTACATCCCCGTAATAAACCCTATTAAAATTATCGAAATTATCTATAAGAGATTTAATGTAGGCAACTAACCTACTGCCTTTCTTTAAAACATTTTCAAATTGCTTATGATCGTTTAAATTTCTGGAAATAATTACCCCAAGATATTTATATGATTCGGCCTCCATTATGTAGCTATCTCCTAGTTTCCAGTGTTTATCCCTGTTTATACGTTTACCAATTACTAATATATTTGATTTATCAAAATTAAAATTAAGTTTCCACTCTTTTGCAATGATAGTAGCATCCACCCAAAATAAACCACCTAACCATTCATCGTTAATCCTTATACCAATATTATGAGAAACAAGCAAATTCTTAAACTCATTAATAAATATGTTAAATAATAATATAATACTAATTTCACTACTCACTTTCACTTGATCCCACTAGCTGTGCCTTGTGCTCATCAGTTGGTAATCTTTCAGGTTTCACTTCAAGGGTGGCAGGTGATGGTAAATCAGATGTCTCACTTTTTTGAATCTCTATTATAAGGTAAAATTAAGAAGGATAAAAATTGTTTTGCTCTACAGTAATACACAGCAACAATGAAAGCATTTAATAGTAAAATAACTAAACTCACTTTCACTTGATCCCACTAGCAGTGCCTTCTGTTCATCACTTGAAAATTGTTCAGATGTATCTTCAAAGGTGGCAGAGGATGGTACATCATCATTACCTTCTGTCCCCTCTTTAAAGTCATTTTTGAATGATTAATAATTGAAATTCTGAAGTCTACAACTTATATTTTATCTTTAATATTAAAATTCATATTACAGTACTTTTGTTTCTGGTAAAGTTATCTACATCACAATCAGACAATTTTTTTAATGCCATTTACCATGAGTAGTAGTCCAGGAAAAAAGATGAGCTAGGGGAGCGGAATGTTAGAAGCAATAAACATAGCTAAGCTGCAGATACGATTTTAGTGTCTAAACCCATAATTTCTAGACAGGCAACAACCCAGACATAATATAACTACTGTCACTCAACATATGCAAAAACTGGTGTTTATCTGTTTTAAAAGTAACTGCAAAATATATTTAAAATATACTAAACAAGAATAAGTATGTAAGCTACTAGCACAGTTTGCTATGTAATCCAGCTAGATTTATGTGCCAAAATAAATTTTATTGACTAACTTTATCATTTTTGGTGCGCTGAACTTGAAATAGGTGCCATTTTTTCTCCCATCATCAGTTGCCATTTTGAATTTCAAGATGGCTGACGCACCACATAAAACATGGTCATGATTAGTGTTAATGGAAATATACACTGATCATTTATTTTCATTACACCTAAACAACATAATACATATTTACAGATGATATAGACCAATACAAGTTGCCGTGTTTGATATCATTTAAAAGCTCTGCCAATGATGAGTAATGTTTTACAGTACATACATATCAGAAACTGTGCAGTTTTTCATATACAGTATTGTCCCGTAAATTCCAATTATGGCATACCATATAAAAATCAAACAGGATACAGTTGCGCAACACTCATGAGCTCTCAGTGCATAACACATGTGCTTTCTGGGAGAAGTCTCAATTCAAATGGGTTCCGGAGATGCCACGGGGGTTAGTCCCTTCTTACTACACATCATTCTACTAAAACGTGACAATACGGTAACTTTTTCAATAATTTTCGAAAATAGGCCAGGGTCTCCTTAAACCTGTCTCTTATACACATCTAGATGTGTATAAGAGACAGACTTCATGGTGGCCAATGCAAATATGTTTATTTTCTTATTTATTAATGATTCTACATACAGCAAATACTTGTCAACTCTGAATAGTATCGTTATGTTATGTGCTATTTAAATGGTATTTCATTGGCTGACTGATTTGTTAAAATATTCATCAACATTATCCTTCCAGTGGTACAACGACGAGTCATGGAAGGGGGCGGGGGGAAAAGAAAAAAAAAATTGTTGAGAAAGAAGTAATCTCCTATGAGAAATAGTTTTTACTTCTCATTTTTTTTATTCTCCTTTAGTGTAAAACTAAAATTTATGCCACTATTTTTTCATAGTTTATAATAATTAGAGTAATGCAGACAAATTTTTCTGAAAAAAGTTTTTAGTGAAATTTTGCCAGGAATGGGCCAAATAAGAAATTAAAAATATGTATAAGAATAAACAGTAACATTTAGCATCAAATAATATTTAGTCGTAGATAAAAAAAAGCAAAACGCAAAAACAAGAAAAAATGATATAATAAGTCACAATGATAAAAGAAATTAATCAAATACAAAAGTAGTTTGAAAAAATATCAGATAATAATTAAACACAATGAATAAGAGATAATTACATAAAGGACAACAAAATAATAAACTTGTTTAATGTAGCAGGTAACAGCTAACAAATAATTCATATTTATTTTATTAAAACAAACAAATAAATAAAAAATAATATAAAAGTGATAGACTTTATCTAAACTATATACTATGTAAAAGAAAGGGATGATAATATTTTATAGAAAAGGTATTGTCTTTTTTTGTGAATTTTGTTTTTTGGACCCAGTGGTTTTGAGACTGAGGTAGTCCACATTTTGTTGAATCCTTCCTGTCACTGTTGTTTCCCTTTTTCCTCCTTTGTTGAGCTTGTTTTTTGCTTTTTGTCCATTTTATTGTACCATTGAGAAAAAATAAATTTAATTAAATAAACAATGGATGTATAAGATTCTTTGTAAGTCTGTACTTTGAGACTTTACTCATCTCACTGTATGTAACATATTCACATACTGTACATTAATAGCCACTCTCAGTCATAGGCTTAGCAAGCAAGCTGTCCGGCCGTCTTTTGGACGGCCTACAATTATTTAGGACGGCCACTTTTACCTAGACGGCTTGGCCTAATCAGTTTGGCCTAGCCTAATTGGGCCTGGTCTACCTTTAGCAAATTCTTTATACTCTTCAAATCTAATGAATGTTACATTAAACTAATGCTAAATCATATTTAAGTTTGATAAAAACCACATTTATTAATTGAATTTACATTGTTTTTGTACCAATATTTGGTGGGGATTCCCAAAAATGGCCATGGTACGCCCACTGGCTTCCATTTTGGACGGCCTATTTCATTTTTCTGGCTGAACCCCTGCTCTCAGTATACTAGAAATAAATCAAACAACACCTGATAAAGGAGAATTGGAAACTTGAACAAGTCAAGAGAACATCTTATATGTGTACCACGAGAACTATTTTAAAAACCAACTATATTTTCTGAATTTGCCCTGTTTTCTTTATTTGCAGTCACATATAAGTTGATATAGTTTCTTTTTAAGAGCCTGTCAATATTTTTGAGAATTTTATTACAATTCCAGACTGATTTTCTTTTTATACTGAATGTGCCATCATAATAGAATAGAATAAAATCCTGCAGTGTAGCTACTATTTCTTTACATTGCTCCCTAATTCAACTTGTTTAATTGTGCTCTAATATTTTTAAATAATTTTAATGTTCTGTCTAGTAACCAGAATATATTACTATCGTTTGCAATAATTACTCTTTCTCCCAATCAGTCTAAACACAAAACCACATTGACATTTATAATCACTGACTTGCTCCAGATAAATTTCAGTGAGTGTCCCTATGAAATTTAGAAGGTAATCAATATTTTAAAAGTACACCAAACATTAGATCATACCAGCATATGCTGTATTAGAAGAAAATATTCAAAACCAAAGCATTGCAGGTGTCAACGTTCCTATGCATGATACATGACTTTATCAGAAAATATAAGGTTGGGTCAAATTTGTGTGGTGGTTTAACTTGAACAATTCAGAAGGAGTGTTTTTATGGTTTTTGACCACATTGTTTATGTTAATTGATAGGCAAATTACCATTAGTAGAATCATCAAAAATTTTTTTTAAAAATTTATTTTGTAGGTGTATGTAGGTATACAGTATTTTCATTTTACAGTAGTTTGAAATGATATCAGGGTGAGGGAGCTGGCATGGCCTACAGTACTAGACAACAATATATTAAACCACCTTAGCAGGCGTCAACGTTCCTAAGCAGAATAATAGTGAAGTTATATGACTGAATTTTATACACGAAATATTTCAATTCGAAAACATATTTAGGCCATTTGCTGTGTTATGCTGTGGAAGCGAAAATGTTGGCCTATAGGCCTAATTAATACATCAACTGCGATACTTTTATCACTATGGATTGTTTTTAACTTTCGTGGGGATGTATCCAGGGAGGCGCTGCTTCCCTCCCATCCCCACCCCTGACAACTTTGTACACAGTTTTAATAAAAATTGTTCCCTTAAATCACTCACACTCTTTAATAGTGATCAACAAAACTTAAACTAATATGAAGTAAACAGTTTGGGTCAAATTTCTGTGTAAAAAAAAATATATTTAACCCTCTGGATACCGGATTCTTTTGTAGTGCAAACCCTTGAATACCGGATTCTTTTGCAGTGTAACTAGGTTTTTGCGTTTTTTGAGTATACATGGTTCTGGTGGATTTTTGGGAACTTTCTGTAAATTATACAGAAAAATGTTTCTAAAAAACAAAGAAAGCTTATAGAATAAGCTTTCATTTGATGTATAATTTATATTTTTAGGATTTTTTATTCATAATATAATATAATATAATATATATAATATAATAGAAATTACAGAAAAATGCTACATACAAATCGTCAGCAAAAACCAAAAAAAAAATAAATAAATAAATTATAGCCAAAAAAAAAATAAAAACAAATATAAGACATTCCTACTCCACACAGTTATATAATTTATTTACCCAACCATCATAACTATAAGCACGATCTTTCCATTCAAAAGCAACGACCACCTCACATTTCTAGGCCTAGGCTCATCTTCATCAAGAACATCGCCGCCGTCAGAACTGCTTGAAGCCCCACCGTCATCATCGCTATCAGGCACGTCTAAGTCTCGCACATCTAAAAACTCACTTTCATCGCTGTCTGAATAAAAAATCAGGTCAATCGCTTCCTCAGCTGTGTACACATCTTGTGCGGCCATTTCGGAATATTTTCGAAATTAATAACGATTTCAAATTGATATTTCTAAATATTTTTATATAAGCGCATGTGAGTTCTTCAGATTTCGAAAGAAGAAAGCTTCACGCATGCGTGTTCAAAATTTCTGACGTATTGGAGCTAAAATAAAAACAGAAGAGCGATTTGAAAACCACCTATTTTTTAGTCACTAAATTTTGATTGCAGTCGAAAATGGGAATTCTCAGTTTGAGGTCAATTTCGACTACAGTCGAAGACGGTATCTAGAGGGTTAACATTTCCAAAGGGGTCGGCAAATGCAAAAAGGTTGGGAAAACATGTCAGGTCTACAGCATTTTTTTTTCACACCATTTCTTTGGACTAAATAAGTACTGTATTATACTCAGATAGCAACAAGCATGTCATGTTTATAAAAACAAGAGCGACCAGGTCCTCATGTTCCTCCACGCTTAAATATGGTACAGGTGCAAGTTATTATATTGGGTTTTTTGGAAGAGCTAATATGGTAGAAATTTTTAAATAATTAGAATGTTTATTTGTACAAATAAATTATTATTTAGATTGATCATTTGTACAAAATTAAAATATTCAAAATAAAAAAAAAAAATGAATACCAAGACACGATTCAAACTCACGACCTTTAGAACACATCTTTCACCGACCATGCCATTCATGTGCCCTATTAGTGGTAATGGCAATAATGTACAGTCCTTGCTGAAACCCCTGTTTTGCTTTGTAGGTGTAGGGGGAACCCTATGGTCCAACATAAAAAAAAGCGCAATGAACGTTTGTTGGAAATCACCTCTAGTTTATGTGTACAAAATTTCCTGCACGTCCGTTCAAAACTGGCGACGCTGGATGCTTTAAAGATTTTGGTAACAAGAACAAAAACAGCAGTGAGGATCTGGGGTCAGCGCTTCGCTTGGACCGAAAAAGAAATGATATATATTTTTAAAATTTTAATCCAACTCATTTTCACATTTTCTCACCTTCTTCCTTCAACTTTCTGAGAGCAGCTTCGTATTCATTTTTATCGATGCATGTCATCCATTCATCTAAGAACTCCTGCTGATGTTTCTCTGGAACTAACATTCCCGCTAAATCTCTGATGAGCTTCCCACTAGAATGGACTTCCCATAGATTCATCAAAGCATCAGGATCATGTGTTGATATATGAAATACTACACATCCCTTTTCTATGTCATCCACATTTGAAGAATAATTTTGGAAAAGTGAGACAACCTCTTTAAGTAGCGGTGTGAAAATTTCTTTTGAATTAATGTTCGAAGCTGCAAAATATTTTTTATACTTATGAAGTTCAGTTAACAAAGGATCGAAACATTCAGGATTTGGCTGATCATCTAAATGAGAAGAACCTCTCTTCCGCTTAACAGTTACTTTTACACCTGTAAATAGAAGAAGAAATATAAAATGTAACACATGAAGAGATATACTCAAAATCATCTTGCATTAATGCTTAAAATAATAATTGTAAACAGTAAAGAGGAGGAATCTGCATGTGTACTATTCCATTGTTTCACTGGTAAATAGTCATCAGAGTTAAGAGGAATTTTTTATTTTTTTATTTTAAACATATTTAATGTAATACTATAATTCATTCGGGATTCAATTTACCAATTTAATCAAAAGAAAAAAATTCAGAAATAAACTTCAGTGTTTATATTAATCAATCCCTTACATATAAATAATTTATACCTATTTTAAATAATGTATAAAATAATTTATACCGTGCACATTAAGTCATTGCTTCATATGCAGTGTATTTTACAGTCATGGTCATGTCCATTTACCTTCTGTAAATATTATGTAAACAGAAAACCAGTAAACAAAAATACATGATTTGTTATATTGAAACTTTATTACCTTCACGATGTCTTTTTCTAAAGGTTAACAATACACTTGAAATGTCTGTAAATGAAACATACCAGTCATTTAAAGTAATACAATATAACAAATTCAATTTATTTTTAAATAGTTATAAAATCTTAGCATTTTATGTTATATTATCTAGATGCTTGAAAATAGCACTCAGACTTCAGAAGTAACAACTTTAATTTTTTGTGAAATTGAGCAAAATTTCTGAGGATTTAAAAAATCAAATATTATCACATGGAAAATTTAAAACTAAAAAAAAAAAACTGGTGTAACTACTAACTGTTTGTTGGTATGAATGCAACTGCAGCTGGATAACAATTGGATGCACACATTAAAAAATGTTCTAGAAGGAGATAGTCTTAACTTAAATAGGTGAAGTATGGTATGTAAATAGGGTAAGAAGACACAACATTTAATAGACATTGCACCTATGAGATGGCCAGATATCATTTTTCAAATGATGGCTAAATAAAATAATAATAATAAAAGAGGCCTATTTAATACAGGGGTAATGAGTGACTGTCACTGAGCATACTTTATGATCTTGATGGTCATTTTTTTTAATTAGAAATAGAGGCCAACTGTACTCTAATAGATCTATGCTATAACTATTCTTAAAAAAAAGTAATATATTTATCTCAGCAAATGGTGTCTATTCTATATAGGTGGTACAGTATGTCATATTGTAGGAATCTTTATGAGGGCCAGATCAAGCTGCTAATATTTTAAATAGCATGGAACATTTTGGGTGGAAATCAAGCAAAATTATGATACTGTACTATCACACATGGATTAATATTAACAAACATACAGTAGCCTCCTTAATTATGATACTGTACTATCACACATGGATTAATATTAACAAACATACAGTAGCCTCCTTAATTATGATACTGTACTATCACACATGGATTAATATTAACAAACATACAGTAGCCTCCTTAATTATGATACTGTACTATCACACATGGATTAATATTAACAAACATACAGTAGCCTCCTTAATTATGATACTGTACTATCACACATGGATTAATATTAACAAACATACAGTAGCCTCCTTAATTATGATACTGTACTATCACACATGGATTAATATTAACAAACATACAGTAGCCTCCTTAATTATGATACTGTACTATCACACATGGATTAATATTAACAAACATACAGTAGCCTCCTTAATTATGATACTGTACTATCACACATGGATTAATATTAACAAACATACAGTAGCCTCCTTAATTATGATACTGTACTATCACACATGGATTAATATTAACAAACATACAGTAGCCTCCTTAATTATGATACTGTACTATCACACATAGATTAATATTAACAAACATACAGTAGCCTCCTTAATTATGATACTGTACTATCACACATGGATTAATATTAACAAACATACAGTAGCCTCCTTAATTAGTATTAGCAAAAATGATATCATATCCAGTCAAATGAGTATTTATTATAAAGTTTTTTCTTTCTTTTTAGACAAGATGCTGCATCAGAGTCGAAACACTGACTAAGTAACTGTAACACATGTAATAATGGAGCAATTTGAGGGCTCGTTCGTTCAGTTTGTATGAATCATAATCGATTCTAGTTGTTGTTATTAACTGACTGGAACAGTCCTAACTGGGTCACCGACAAGCAGGATAACAGCATGACCATCCCATTTATACTCCTGGATGAAGAGAGGCAAAGCTAAGTTAAGTGTCTTGCCCAAGGACACAAGCAATGCGATGAGCGTTGGTCTCGAACTCCTGATCTCACGATCAGAAGTCCAACACCTTACACTCCGCACCACACGCTCCCACAATTTGAGGGCTGTTTATTGGTATAAGATCAGAATCACCTGCCTGCCTAGAAAATGGTTTTAGTCACTTCTCAATTCTTTCGAAAGAAACCTTATGTGTGGCATGGCAGCATATGGACTATCATCAAGATTGAGAATAATATAAATGCTTTCTTTAGTCTGGGATTGTTTACTGAGATTGTGGAAAGCTTTTTCATACTTGTGATGATGGCTATTAGGCCCTGGTTAGTTTTTAGAGTGGGTATCCACAACTGTCTTTCTTTTGATAAATTTCTGAATCTTTTCTGACACTCAATTATTTAAACACATTTTTAAATAGGTTGCTCAGTAGGAAAGTAAAGATGTAAAAAATTTATAAATTGAATGTATGCTAAATCAAATTAAAATGTAACTTCCTAATCATAGTTCAGGGTTCAAATTTCCCCACAGTGCATACAGCAATTGCTGTAGAAAGGACCTTCCAATGCTTTTGTAAATGCCAGACTCAACAGCAAGCTTCTTGTCACTAGGCCTAGCAATGGATTATACTACAGTATTTCATTTTAATATAGAATACGCCTAATCTTAAAAAATTGACAAAGTTTGTTGCTGTTGAAGAAGAATAAATTAATGTAGTAAAGCCATAGCCCAAGCAACTACTTGCCGATGGAGCATTTTGAGGAAATTTAAACCCTTTAATTACATTTCTGCCTATAGGTTAATGTTGGCCTAAAATATTGATTATGGTGCACCTGTAGTCTACATAACAACCTGAAAGATTATTATTATAATCAATCATGTTTTCATTTAAAATGCATTTGTACTCCCTATATCTTTAGAATCCTTAATGACACATTATTTCTTCAGTCATTAAGGATTCTATATCTTTAGAATCCTTAATGACTGAAGAAATAATGTGTCATAAATTTACAATATTATCAAAATTTATTAAATTTATCTGAAATTTAAGTAAGAAATACAATACCTTCTGTTAGAGCTATCACAGCTCGTTTGAGTTCGAGCCTCTTCAACATTTGGGTGAAACTGTCTATGTCTTTTTCACAAATAATCATTTTATGTTCTAGATCCATAATCAAACTCCAGCTGTCTTTATGTTTCCCATTATACCGTTTACTGAGCTTTTTGACATCATCTGGATTCAGCGACAAGCCTAGCTGCACAAGTCTTAGCCGATATGGTGTGAATTCAGTAAAATCATTATTCCATATATCTTCAGGAAAATGGAATGATGGCACCTGTTTTTTAATTTCTTCTTCCAGACCAAATTGCTGTGTTGCCTTAATAGTATCATACAGGAGATTGAGATTAGTTGGACTCAGATCTCCAAAACTAATCAGCATATTAATTAAGTCCATTGTTTCAGAAGCCATATGCAATGCAAAAGTATTTCCTACATGGTCTCGGTACAAAACTTTAAGCATATTAATGTCTATGTTTTTATCAAACCATTCTGACACAACCATCTTAAGATCTGCAAAAGCTTTTTCTTCTATGATTTAAATGAAAAGAAATGTTTGTAAAAAAACAACAATGGAATGACAAATTGTTTAAAATCAATTTCACCATCATACTGTAAAACATGTTGATCACAAAACAGCAGAAGAATGGTGACATAAATTAAATATCTTATTAGTTTACCCATGGACCTATTATTAATAGGTCCATGGTTTACCTTTACTTGTTTCCATCTTCAGTGTTTATTTGTACAGCTACTGCATCACTCTTTATTCATTCCTGAAGTAAACGATAATAACTCAATCAGAAAAAAAGACAGAAATAGCGATTTGATATCAAATGCTTAATTAGGAATTTTTTATCATTTTTACTGTAGAGTTTCCCTACTTTTTTTGATCTGTATTATAAACATGTCAACTTCTCTCAATTCAGTTTTATGTTAAAGTAATAAAATATATAAAATTTTAATTTAAATACAGTGGCATTGTATTTTTAGTCTCCACTCAATCTTAAGTGAATGCGAGGCTCGGTATTTGAAAATGTACTTTAATAAGTTCTATAGATGGAAGGGCCTGTAATAAAAAATGTTGGCA